ATAATATAAGAAAGTGATAATATGTGAAGAAAATAACCATGCTCGTGAAGATAAAAGGTGATATAACATAAAGTTGAAAAAAAATGAAATATTTCCATGCGTGGCGAAATAATAACCAGTTCCATGTGACGACCAAAATGTCATAATCTGTTATAACAAAAATACTAACAAATTTGGTCTTTAATTCAAAGGTTAATTTGTAAGAATTGTCAGCAAATATTATTTCAAAATTTAAATTTAGTCGTAATGAAAAGATTTGATTTTTATAAAGGAATACGGAGTCTTACCTACGATAATTTTATCCAATTTCGTTATCTTTCTTTAGAAAAGATCATGAACGGCAAAAGAATAACAGGAAATTTAAATCATAATTATATCTGATTTATGAAAAAGTGATAGAATTTAATATCGTTCTCAAATTTACTCAAAAAAATCTAGCTTTAAGGTTTACGTTAGTCGCTAATAATTGAAAATGTCCAGTTTGCCTCCATGTGTCAAAATTGATATGCTTTTGGAAATAAGTAAATTGTATTGATAGATCAATAGATACATGAAGATACGCCACTTGTTTGGTTGTTGTACTAATAGAAAAATAATATCGAGAATATCACTTGATGCCACATTTTTATCGAGTAAAATCCGAGAATGACAACTCTACGAAGAACAAAAAATCTTGTGGGATCCCGGTTCTATTAGGGTCCGTCCCATTTAAGGGTATTTATTTATAAAAAATAGAGGACGGGGACGGGGGTGGGACAATTTTAACCCCCGTTTTAATTAATTTTGGGGGTAGGGGTTGGGGCGAGCAGTCAAATGAGGAACGGTGGAATTTCAGGAGCAGGAGCGTGTACTCCCTGTTCCGTTTGTCCCCATTGACATCTCTAATGAAGAAACCCTAAAAAGATTTAGAATAATTTGAATTCTAAATTAGATAAGTAAAAATCTTTGATTCATAATTTTTAAATAGATTTTTCTTTAGAAATTAATTTTATAAAAAACTTATATATTGGGGTTTCCTTTCGGATTAAACTTTAATTTTTTTTTTCTAAATATTTGATTCCAAATAGTTTTTTTTATAAAATAATTTTATAAAAAAGCCTTACATATTGGGGTTTTTTCCGGATTAAACCTCAACTATTAATTTTTCATAAAAAAAACATTGCATATTTTCATTTTTTTTATTTATGATTTGACCCTTTTAGTTAGGGGTGGAATTGATACGGAACCAATTCATTTTTCTCTAAACCGTGTACTGTACCAACTATAATTGATATTAAAAAGTTGGTACCGAGTACCGTATCAAGTATACTTATTTGGCTAACAACAAGTTTGGTTGGTATAAATTGATAACGGTATATACAAACTTCTTTTAATTTTCTATTGTAAGATTTACAAATAATCAAAGACATTGAGATTTTGATATTTAGTATAGAAATTAGTTATATAATTCTTTTAGTTCACCAAAGAATTTTACTAAAATAACGCTAAAGTAACATTTTAATTTTATGTTTTAAGATGGTAATAACTATTGACTATACGACTAAATAACTAATATAATGTTATTAAAACTATAAACACTAAGCACAATTAACATTTGAAATATAACATTTCATATATATATATATATATATATATATATATATATATATATATATATATATATATATATATATATATATATATATATATATATATATATATAATGAATTGATTGGTACATCATTACCATAGTATTCAAACTTTTGTACTATTAATATACCAACATTGATCAATTGGTACGGTACTACTAACCAAACATGTTGGCTACCAAGTTTTTTGGTTCGGTTAGTAACATATTGGTTGGTTTCTGTAGTACAATTTTGTCAGCCCTACTTTTAGCAGTTTTACCAGCATTCTTCTGGTTTTAAATAGTTTTTTAAATAGAAAAAACCCTAAATTTTTTGAAGAAATCTTCACATTTAACAAATATTTTCTTTTGAACCAAGTCATAATGCCTTTGGAGATTACTAAAAAATAATCATTGAGAATAAATTGACAACAAAAGATTGAACGCGAATATGTGAGTTTACATATTTGACACTTTTATTCATATCATTGGTTGATGACATAATGTTTGTCTCTTTAGCCTAACATGTCATACCAGGTACATGGTATCTTTATGGAATGTTGTTCGTTGTGTTTTTCGCGTTTGGTGATAGACTACGACAAGATATTTGTTGTAGGAAAGTTTGTTAAAATTGGTGTACTTGCGTGATAGGCTTTTGGTGTTTAGGCCGGAGGAAGTAGTGTTATTTTTGACATACCATTTTGTCTGCTACATCAGCGTCTAGTTAATGCCACTTCAAATTTACCACAATTTCATGGGTCTTCCATGCACAATAAATGTCCCCATGGCATGCATTAGTTGTTTTTAAATTTATTAAACAACTAGTTTATAACCTGCGATAACCACAGTTATAAAATTAATTAAACTTTCGTATTAAAAAATCAAAATTATTATACAATTATTTTAAATAAATTATTACTTAAGAGATATTTTTTTAGTTATATATAAAATTATAATCGTTGATTTAAATAAATACATGGAGTTATATCATTTTATAATTTGTATTAATTTTATTTTATTTTTTAATCTAATGTTATTAATTTAATATAATTAAAGGGAGAAATTTTAAAATTTGAAATTTAAAATGAAGAATCAATTATTAATTTAATAAAATTAGAGTGGAAAATTTAAAATTTAAAATTTGAAATGAATAATTAATAGATTGACAAGTGACATGATAAATGATATATAACATTAATGAGGGGTTCTAATTGCATGACACTTATCAATATGAGATTAAACCTATTCTTTTATTAGAATAGGGATTCAAATAAATAAAAGACTTAAATTCCATTAATTTAAATTAAATATACATAACATGAAAATAAAAAAACATCTAAAAAACTTAGAATATATGTTGTAACATGTTTCGAAAATGTTAAGAGAATATAAGTTATCAATTTATATAAAAAAGTAACAACCTCCATAATAATAATATATTTATAATTTTTTAATATGTTTCAAAATTGTTAAAATGATATATGTTATCAACTTATAAAAAAAGTAACGCAACTCCATAATAATAATATACAAAAATATCCATTTTTATTTTTAGATAAGCAAAGATTATTTAGCTTTTTTTGAAAATGGAGATTTCCTAACGAGGGTTTAGGATCAGTTATGTCTCGTACCCTAGAGTTACTGCAGACATATCTACATAACCACAGAGTTTGAGTAGTGTCAGGATTTAAACATGAGTTAATAGGTGTTGTGGCAGGTACATATCTGTCCATTTCTCATGATACTTGGGTGTGGAAAGGTAGTTCTTTGGGAATGTTTTCGGTTTCTTCTCTTAGAGGTTTGATGGCGTTAAATCAATGTGCAATTGGTAGCATGGCTGGCTTTCGGTGGGTGAGTTGGGTCCCTATCAAAGTTAATTGTTTTGAAAGTTAATTGTTTTGTTTGGAGGTTAGTTTGTAACAAGATCCTAATTGCTTATAATTTATTGCTTAGAGGGGATGTGGTTAACGAGGTGTCTTGCAAATGGTGTGGTAGTGAAATGGAGTACATGGAGCATGTATTTTTCAATTGCACTTTTTCTGCGTATATTTGGATTTGGTTTGGAGCCTGGAGTGGCCTGGTTATTACTGCTCCAACCTGTATTGAGGACTTCATCTCTATTTTGAAGATCCCGATGGGAAGTAAAAAAAGAAAAAAAAAATGGAGTTGATGCTGTTATACTTGGCAGTGTGGGTTATTTGGAAAACTTGTAATGTTTTGGTGTTAAACAACACGAGAAATTTTTCTCTCAAGGCGGCATATAAAATTCAGTTGTTATCCTTTAATTGGTTTAAGAATAGATCGGTATTTAGAAATAGCAGTTGGTCGGTTTGGCCTATTTCTCCTTTTCTTGCTTGTACTTTGTAATTTGTGCTAGTTTTTTTAATCTATTTGCTTTTAAAAAAAAAAAAGCATTTTTAAAAAAAACATGGACTAAACGCATAAACATATAGTTCTTAGATTGTTGTATTGAAGCGCACAAACAAATGGACCAACCTTGCAATTTTGTGTTATATTATTTTGATTTGAGATTTAAATATCCTTCGGTATTTTTTTTATCCTTCTATTTAAAGTGATATGAAACATACAAAAATATTTAAATATTATTATTTTCATTAAATGACATGTATCATTTAAAATGAATAGAAAAATATGTTGGAAGAAAATATAAAAGGATAATTATTTTCTGTTTTGAACCAAGTCATGTTATGTAATTATTATTTTGAACCAAAAACCATACAAGCAAGTGATTCATAGACTAACAATTTCTTTTTCACACAACAATTTATTTTAAAATATAAATTATCATTTATGAAAAAAAATTGTTATGCACACATTAGATCTTATAGATAAAGATAAACGTTGATACAATCAAAATTAAAAAGAAAGATCTAATTACTAAATGGATAAAAAACAAAGAAAAAGGCAAAACAATGATGACGTTAAAGAAACTATTAACGTATGCCTAGTGCTCTTTTGGAAGGCGATAAGCACAAGAACACATTTGCAACTTGCATCAATAATTCGTATTAAACAAATAATTAGGTCTATGTCAACAATTTAAAACTAGTTAATCTCGATAATTAAATTAAACAAATATTTTATTTATATACAAATTATTACTACCATTAGTATTATACATACATCATCCCAATCTTCAAGGGTCGGTTAATCAAAGATCTCTAATATAAAAACATTACAAAATCATATGCTATCAACATCTGCCTTTCGTTTCCAACTTCCAAGTCTACAATACTACAACTATGAAAGTAACCTTTTAAAATAATAGTTACTAAATTGAAAAGAAACATCTACAACTTTAATCTAATTGTACAAAACTAAATTGCAATTTGAAATTAATAGAAACACATACTCGCCAGAAATCGGAGATCAATCATTCATCAGAACGATCGGAGAAATCTGAAGCGAGACGTGAAGCGATGGCGGAGTGATACATCGCATCGTGAAACGACTCCGTTTCCATCGTCAACATCCGGAGCTTCCTCGCCTTTTCTTCAGTGAAACTCCCCGGAGTAATACGAGATCTGACCGGTCTCTGATCCAGATCCGATTCCGAAATGGCGCCTGATCTCGCCGAAAAAGTAGTGTTATTCTTCCTGTTTTTGTCGATGTTGCCGGAGTCAATGTAGTCGGGCTCGGAGGGCCAGCCGAAGAGTGGAGTCCACCAGCTTTTGCGTTGAGAGTCGGACTTTTGGTTGCCGGAGGTGGAGGCGGACGCTCGGACGATGACCGGAGGCTGAATAGGCATGAGACTTGCTGCCATTTTTGTAGAGTTTGTAGAGAGAGAAAGTACAGATGATTTATTTTCCTGTTTTGCCGATAAAGATTTTGCAGGTGGATAGTGAGTTCTCTCCTTGGGGTTTTGTTTATATAGGGCAACCGGCTCAAGATCGTACACGTGTCGGTTTTGTACTAAAGTGTCACGTGTAGGACCGTTACACGCTTTTTTGGTTTATATTTGATAGATTGTATATATCCCATATTTTTTTTGAATGGCGATTATTATTATTTGTGTATACGAGTCTGTAATATTATAACAAAGAGTAAATTACACGAATAGTCCCTGTAGTTTTGGGCAATTTGCACGCTTGGTTTTTAATTTTTTTTTTTTTAATTTGGAAGGTGACTACTGTTTGTTTTTGTTACGCGCTTGGTTCCTACTTTTGTTTTTATTACGCGCTTGGTCCCTACCTTACCTAAAAATACTATAATTTAAATAGAAAAAAATAGTGGAATAGGTAAGGTAAGGTGAGGGGTGAGTTTGGGGGTGTGTTTATTTAATATAAATTAAAAAACCAATACCAATATAGTCTTTTTTAGGTAAGATAGGGGTCAAGCACGTAACAAAAACAAACAATAGGGATCTTCCGAGTTAAAGAAAAAATTAGTGACCAAATGCGCAAATTACACTAAACCATAGGGACCATTGGTATAATTTACTCTATAAACAAAAGGAGATGATAATTTTACTTATGTTTTCTATTCATTCGTTTAAAAGAAGTGCAAGTTATGCTCGTTATAATTCATTTTCTTGGATCAAAATAAGGGAGACAAAAAATCATATTGTTTTTTGAATGGATAAATAAAAAATATAAATGAAAATGTCATTTTTCATATTATAAATGTTTAACTTTTGTTGTATTTTAATAAATAGTCTTTTTTATAATATGTTTATAAAAATATTTTAAAACTATTCATTTTTCAATTACATAATAATTATATTTTAATTATAGAATCGTGCAATGTTGATCAAAATATTTGAATCCGTAGTTTCCTAAAGAAAACTAAATGTATATCGAAATTTAACAACCTCAAATGGTCCTATTCTTTAGTTTTTGTTGCTTAACTAGGAATTTACACTCAGTGTATTGTGTTGACATGGATTTAAGTTGAATTTTGACAATTGTATTGATAAAAGTTAGTTAAATATACAAGATCGGTATCAGTGAATAACTTCAATTTATACTGTCGAATGAAAATGTATTATATATGAATAACTAATTTATACTTAAATTTATACAAGATCGGTATCAGTTAATAACTTCAATTTATACTGTCGAATGAAAATGTATTATATATGATTAAACACATATGTAACAAACATATATAAAAATAAGAACGTAAATCGTACACAAAATTTACGTCGAAATATATAGAAAGTTAAATTTATACCAACATGTACATATAAATATACAAGTAAGATTGACTTTTTATGTTAACAAAGGGAAGTTTAAGTAATCTAAAACATATTATATGTGACCCAATTTATACATAGGAAGTGTGCAAAAAAAAAAGCACAAAAACGTAAAATTAAAAAAAAAAAAGACTAAAACATAGAAAAACTCGAATTTATAATGACACGTACATTAAAAACATGTTTTTTAAGTTGACGAATGTAAGTTTTAAATTTACGTCAAAATGTTTATAACCTTGAATTTATACCAACTTTAGTTTGGATATACAAGTATTTATGTTTAAGGTAGGGGTGGTTCAACCAGTTTGGACATCTAAACGGACCAAAAATACAGGACATTTTGGCATTTACTATACTTAATGTTATAAGCCCTCCTTCTTTATCCGGGTTTAGGACCGACAATAATAAACTAAAAAGTTTATAATTTGCGGAGTTAATTTTTTTTTCTTTAATTATGTATATTTTTGTGAATATATTTAAGGCATAAAGTTAATTTTTCTAGCCTTTTTAGATCCAAATTCTCTAATGAAATTTTCTTAATCAATTTTTTTTACTAAATTTTTTTCAATTAAAAATAGCTAATCTTTTTTTATGATTTTTGATAATTTAGTTAACAATAACTATCACCAAAACAATAAAAAGTAAATTAAAAGTAAATAGTAATGGATTGTAGAGTTATAGTATGAAAATACCCGCTTTACTTGTTTGGCAAAGTGATTTCATAACGACCACCTTGACCTTGAGGGCTTGACTCCTTGAGTAAGCTAAAATGGAAATATAGAATTGCAAAACTGAAATTCGTTCCAACCAAAATCGATCCTTCCAATATCTAAACTCCAAACTCAGGTTGATTCTAATATTCAAAATGCAAACCCGGTTCCAAAATCAAACTTCACACAATGAAGATTAAAATAAAATTAAACCCTATTAAGTATTAACCCTAATAGATAGTCTAATCAAGAAAGAAGAATTACCAATGGAGTTTGATTTTTAATTGGTAAAGAATCAAAGAATCAGAGAGGATGAACAATACCGTTTGATTTTTGAATCGACATTCAGACTTGTGTCTTCAGGCTCACTGATAGACTGATGATAATCGGTCTTTTGAACAATCAAGACTCAAGAATTGATTTTTTGATTTTTTTTAACAATCTAAATGATTATACTTAAGAGCTCAGGAAAAAGAAGAATGGAGAAGATGAGAAGAACAATCGGTTGACTTAGCAGAAGAGTTTCTCAGTTTCAATCGTGCGTCGGATGGAAGAATCCAAAATCAACAACAAAATTTAATTAATGGATTTTGGGCTAAGGGCCCCTTAAAGAGGGGGGTCCTAAGCCCTTGCTTACTTTGTATACATGTAAAGCCAACCCTCCTTAAGGTACAACTATCAATGGATGGAGGTACAAGTTAGAATGTTTATATGTCTAAGCTTGGAATAATTGTGTTTGGATTCACAGGGAAAGAGAAAGCAACAAAAAAAAAAAAAATTGGGTGTGTGAAAAGAAAAGGAAGAAAGATGTAGGGGTTAACATGTAAGAGAAAAAAAGAATTATCAAACAAAAGTCCGGCTGGGTTTTAGTATATTCTATATAGACAATGTTTCATTTTTTTTCCGAATATTTGGGGTTTTATATAATTTTTTGAATGGAGACTTCTACTATTCCCCCTTTACGAACATGAGACTATGTATCAATGAATTCCTCACAATATCTTCTACATGTCTTCCAAAATCACTTAAAACCAACTAGTTTGTTTTGTACAATTTGTATAAACTTAATATGATATATGTTCAAATGAAAACTAATTATCATATGTGAATGATTTTAGAACGTCGGATTGAAATAATCATTGATTCCGATGAAAATCAAATCTTAATAAATAAAACAATTTATTTATTGATAAATTGTTATTTGTATTTTCACAATAATTAATTCATATTTCAATCTAACCAAACTTAATGTAACGTTAATTATTTAGAATGGTTGGTCATATCAAACCTTCTTGTTACCATGTACAAAAACAAAAATATCAAATGTGTGCCGTCCAAGAATATACTCTGAATTCGATTCTAAAAACTCAAATAAAATATATTTTTAAGTTCAAAATTGACCAAAATATTTAAATATATATGGACAAAAACCCTAGAGCAAAAACGACCAAGTAAGAGTTGTCTTATTTCGAACTCATATGGAACGTGGAACGTTGACACAAATGTTTTCCAATTGAACTTTCAAAACGTGTACCTATGTATATACGTGGTCCTCCAAAAGGAATATACGTTACGAATTTTCCATGAGATTTCTTTTCATGACATCCAAACAATATAAGAAACAAATGTAGTTGTGTAAGATGTCACATATCATGAAGGTTCTTATCACTAATGGAAACAAATAACACAAGCAAATCGTGGTCGAATCTATAGTAAACTTTTTAGATGGAAAATGTGTTGATCATTATACTGATTTTCATCATTTTTGGTGAATTTAGTGGAAGCTTAAAAACCTTTTTTTTAATCCATTTCAAGTGAAACAAAACAAATAGATGAGAACAAAGTATGGAATTTAGTTGTTATTGATTTGTTCGTGTCTATGTAAAAATGTAAGTGTGAATGACATAATATACAATCAACTTTTGTCCATATAGTGCCCAATTTTTGTTTTTGTTTAGATGTGTAATTGTATATGCCTATTTTTAAGGCAGAGCTTGTTCTAAGAGAGTATTTATTATTATTATTTTTTTAAACAAAGGTCTTAAAAATATTTATAAATGCCATGCTGTTATTTTATAGATGAACTAAATAGACTTATGTTATTTATCTAATTTTTAAAGAAAATTTGCATGGTGTTTATAATGAATTCCCTTTTTTTTAAAATCATAACATTAATATTTTTATATTTCTGATTTTATTTCGATTTTGGTCCTAATATATATGAAACGACAAAATTGCTTTTATCGGATTTATTTTTACTTTTCTTTTTAATTATTGTTTTTTCTTTTAGTATATTGTATGTGTCCACCGACCACAATGAAACCAATTAAAAAGTTAGAATCTTAGCCTAAACCGAGTAATTAAACCCTGTAAAGAAAGCACGTTACAATAATAATAACACACAATTTTTCGCTTTAGGTTTATTAAAGTTGAAAGACAAACAAACGAAAAATATGTAGTGAGATGTTGAAAATTGAAACGATACATGAATATAAATGATCTTCAACAACATTCCGAATCGAATAATAATTTGAATATTTGCCAAATCCCACCATGAACAGGAATGAAACCGAAATATCCAGCACCCCAAAATCAAAATGACATAATTAATTAATTATGGTAATGTTCGCTGCTGAAGTGGCAATGCTCCCAAGGCTTCACGTTCTACATTCTCCCTCTTTACCTTTTTTAAAAACAAAATTAATTGTTTTCGGTTAAATCAATCCCAATGCACGGATAAAACAGGTTACACTGTGTTTGACAAACGTTAGATTGAGATTGAGACTGACACTGATACTAATACCGATGCTGACTCACTATCAATCTCCCGACTTTGTTATAGTCTTTGCCATGATTCAA